GGCCGGGATCAGGACGGAGATGGAGGGGGAGGGGGAGGGTTGGGGGGGAGAGACGGGACGGAGATGCCGGGATGGAAACGGTGGGTGGAAGCAGGTCGGGACGGAAGGGCCGAGACGGCGATGGAGGACCTGGGACGAGGAGATCGGAATAGCCGGGTCCTCCATCGACGTCTCGGCTTCTCCATCCCGACCCTTCCGTCCCGACCTGGGGAGATCGGGACGAACAGATCGGAATAGGGACCCGGGATGGCGAGGCTGGGGATGGACATGGGGAGATCGGGACGGAGAGGCCGGGATGGAGACGTTGGGGGTGCAAGAGAAGATCGGGACGCAGGGGCCGGGATGGACCGGCGGGGGGTGCACGCAGGTCGCGACCGAGTGGTAGGGATGCGAACGCGGGTTGCCAGGGTTTTGGTTCATTCTCCTCCCTCTACATAACTGCAACTAATCTCGTTTTTTTTTTGGGGGGGGGTGAATCACGAATCGATCGTAAGCAGGCGGTGGTCTGCAGCAACGATGTCTATCTGTGGCCTTACTAGCACTTTTCTCCTGACTGAATGTGTCCGTCTTTGCGGCCGAATACCTCCAAAAAGCCCCTACGGTCATTACCGCTGCATCTAGACTCAAAAGTTGCTCCGAATGCAGATATAATGACCGACGTGCCTTCTATTCTGGAGAAGACGGGAGCTTCCTAAACGTAACGCATCATGGACTATAGCTCTGTCATCCCAAGCTCAGCGTAATGATAACAACAATGCGCTGAATGTACTCAGAAGATTCGTCTGTTAGATCTTCGTAAATACCCCTGATGGACTGGGGGGCATCCACCTGCAAGCTTGCTCTGTGTGTGTGTGCGTGTGTGTGTGTGTGTGTGTGTGTGTGTGTGTGTGTGTGTGTTTTGGGGGGTGTGTTGGGGGGTGTGGAGGGGGGTGTGGAGGGGGGTGTGGGGGGTTTTGCAAGAAGAGGTGGGGAAGTAGGTGGAGCTCTGTGTTAGGTCCTTGGGAGGAGAGAGAGTCTGGGGCTATTCCTTTTGGCGGGAGAATGGCAGGTCTGACTCTTTTTTTTGGCGGGAGAATGGCAGGTCTGACTCTTTTTTTTGGCGGGAGAATGGCAGGTCTGACTCTTTTTTTTGGCGGGAGAATGGCAGATATGACTCTTCCTTTTAACGGGGGGAAAAAAAAGGGGGTCTGGGTCTTGGTTTTGGCGGGAAAATGGAGGGTCTGCCTCTTGCTTTAGGCGGGAGGGTCTGGCTCTTCGTTTTGGCGGGAAAATGGAGGCTCTGACGCGTAGTTTTGGCGGGCAAATGGGAGGGTCTAGCTCTTCGGCTTGGCGGGCAAATGGAGGGTCTGGCTTTTCGTTCTGGCGGCAAAATGGAGGTATGGCTCTTCGTTTCGGCGGGAAGAGGGAGGGTCTGGCTCTCCATTTTGTCGGGAAAATGAAGGGTCTGGCTCCTCGTTTTGGCGGGAAAGTGGAGGGTCTGGTTGGCGGGAATTGGAGGGTCAGGCTCTCCGTTTTGGCGGGAATTGGATGGTCTAGCTCTTCGTCTTGGGGGGGAAATGAGGACCTGCCTGCCTGCAATTGCACCTCTTTTCTGGTCAGATTCATGCCTGCCTGCCTGCTTGCCTGCAGTTGCACCTCTCTACTCTGGTCAGATTCATGCCTGCCTGCCTGCCTGCCTGCCTGCCTGCAATTGCACCTCTTT